GAGAAGGTTTTTAAAGATGCTCCCTATGTATTCCTATGTAAAACTTTGATCGCCCACTGTGGCCCCACCCTACCCCCGGGGTCATGATTTGAACAAACTTGAAGCAACACTACCTGAGGATGCCTCCATACATGGCTTTGTTGTTCTTGAGAAGAAGGTTTTTAAAGATGCTCCCTATGTATTCCTATGTAAAACTTTGATCGCCCACTGTGGCCCCACCCTACCCCCGGGGGTCATGATTTGAACAAATTTGAATCAACACTACATGAGGATGCTTCCATGTAAATATGACCAATCAAGGATTTGCTGTTCTTGAGAAGATTTTTAAAGATGCTCCCTATGTATTCCTATGTAAAACTTTGATCGCCCACTGTGGCCCCATCCTACCCCTGGGGGTCATATGATTTGAACAAACTTGAATCTACACTACCTGAGGATACGTCCACATAAGTTTCATATTTTCTAACACAGTGGTTCTTGAGAAGAAGATTTTTGAAGGATGCCATAAATTTTTCATGAATTCGCAATTATCTCCCCTTGGAAGAAGGTGTGGCCCTTCATTTGAACAAACTTGAATCCCCTTCACCCAAGGATACTCTGTGCCAAGTTTGGTTGAAATTGGGCCAAAAGTTCTGGAGAAGAAGATGAAAATGTGAAAAGTTTATGAAGCCAACGACAATGAAAGACAACAGACAAATTTTGATCAGAAAAGCTCACTTGAGCCTTTGGCTCAGGTGAGCTAAAAAGGGGTTGGGACTTCCAAATGACTTTGAAATATCCATGGTATTTGAGATATCAATTTTTAAGATTCTAAGATTCAACTGCATAAGAAATGAATTTTATTTTTGAGAATTCAAGAGGTACATGAACTACAACTCTTCATGCCTGCACATTTTTCAAAAAACCAACACACTTTATGAAAAATATCCCTGCCTGAGGCATTGTAATTCATGAGGAGGTCCTCATGAATTCTCAAAAATTAAATTCATTTACTAAATTGTAATAAATATATTTATATCCAGCACATTCAGTAATGCACTAAATCAAATCTACACTAACCTGATTTTGCTAAAATATCAATTTTCACAAATATAGTATGCACTAAATATAAAACATCTACAGTAAATACATTTCATAAACTCTGTTAAAATGTTGTTCACCTAACAATTCAATATCTCTCATTTTTTCTTTAAAAAAAAAAAAAAAAAATTCTCATAACAACTAGAATCACTACATCAACCTCAAATAACAATAGGATATATTTTTCTCATTTTTAATGTGTACCCACCTACTTCTAAATTATCCTCATTTACAAGTGAATTTCAAATTCAAATGTTAACCAAAAAATAAATTGAAGGTGTTTTCCTTTCCTTTAAATGGACTAAATTAATAAAAATACTACCATAAATATTTTTCAAAAGAAGAAAATAAAAATTAGTATTGTACTAGGTGATGACTTACTGTTGGTCTTATTTGCATCATCGTTGATTTCCCAGACTGACTTAACCTGTTTGTCCTTTGCAGAGCCAACTTTAGTTCCAGAAACTAACATCTCCAAAAATAATGATAAAAATACCATCCACATTGTACTTCTTTGATTTACAACTTAATCAACCTTTTAGAGAATCTACAGATAGACAGCTCACTATAAAATCAATATATTTTATCCTGCTTTTTAACCAGGCACAATTTATTTTTCCCCCCAAATAAAAAAAAAATAGAGAGGCTCCAGGGCTCTCAAAAGCATTCATGCTCATAAAATGACATATTAATATAGTGACATGTTCATATAATAATGACATAATATGGTGTACATTTATAAACTATTCATAAACACACTGGCAGAGTTCTAGTCTTTGACCAAATTAAATATTTGACCTTGATGGAACTTTTTATGTAACCATTACATAATATTCTCATTTAGAGGTGTAGGATTTGTACCATAGTTGGAATTTAGAACCATCAACAACACTCTCCAAAATTACTGATCAATATGATATCAAGGTTTTTTTATCTACAGCAATAAGTAGCCTCTTGTAATTCTTATAGGAAATAACACCTTTAGTTGTGGGCAATTCTGAAAATACTGCAGTTGTCTTCAAACAAGATATTAGTATCAATATTCTTTCAAAAGGCATTAAAACAAAATAAAACATATCAAGAATACAGATGCAATATTTTGTGACTTGGAATCTTTATGTATAGAATTTACAACAGGTGTTTTGTTCTATTTGTACTTTGATATTCATTTTAATAAAAGAAAGGAAAAAAATGTTCCAACAATTAAATTTTATGTTCATGCAAACACTATTAATAAAGTTGAGCATATGAACTAAAACAGATTTTAAAATTCCAACAACCTATGAAATACATACAACCAATGTATTTAATGATTTTTTTTATGCCCCCATATCGAAGATTTGGGGGTATATAGTTTTTGCCCTGTCTGTCTGTCTGTTTGTCTGCAAAAACTTTAACATTGCCCATAACTTTTGATTGGTTGGACCTATGGCTTTCATATTTCACATGTGTATTCCATGTGACAAGACCTTTCTTTGGGTACCACCAGATTTGACCTTTTGACCTTGGAGTTTGAACCAGTTTTGCAAAAAATTTTCCAAACTTTAACCTTGGCCATGACTTTTGAACAATTGGTGCTAGGGCTTTCATACTTCACATGTGTAATCCTTGTGACAAGACCTTCCTTTGGATACCAACAACTCTGACCTTTGACCTTGACCTTGGAGTTTGACCTACTTTTGAAAAACTTTAACATTTGCCATAACTTTTGAATGGCTGGTGCTAAGGCTTTCATACTTCACATATGTAATCCTTGTGACAAGACCTTCCTTTGGATTTGAACAACTTTGACCCTTTGACCTTGACCTTTGAGTTTGACCTACTTTTGAAAAACTTAAATAGCCATAACTTTTGAACCGCTAATGCTAAGGCTTTCATACTTCACAAATTTAATCCTTGTGACAAGACCTTCCTTAGGATACCAACAACTTTGACCCTTTGACCTCTGAGTTTGACCTACTTTTGAACTTTAACCTTGGCCATAACTTTTGAAACGTTGGTGCTAGGGTTTTCATACTTCACATATATAATCCTTGTGGCAAGACCTTCCTTTGGATACCAACAACTTTGACCATTTGACCTTGGACTTTGACCTTTTTTTGGAAAACTTTAACCTTGGACACAACTATTGAAAAGTTGTTGCTAGGGGTTTCATATTTAATATGTTTTTTTTTCCTTTTGACAAGACCTTCCTTTGGATACCAACAATTGTAATCCATTGACCTTGGAGTTTGACCTACTTTTTAAAAACTTTGGTCATAACTTTTGAACGATTGGTGCTTCAGCTTTCATATTTTACCTGTATATTTCTTGTGAGAAGGCCTTTCCTTAAGCACCATTAATTTTGACCATTTGACCTTGACCTTGATGTTTGACTTACTTTTGAAAAACTTTATCCTTTTCCATATCTATTCAATGGTTGCTGCTAGGGCTTTCATATTTCACATGTATATTTCTCGAGACAAGACCTTACTTTGGGTACCAACATATTTGATTTGCATTTGAGAAAGTTTAACTTTTGCTATAAGTTGCCATACAGGGGCATCAGTGTTTCACAAACACATCTTGTTTTTTCAAGCTTTATAGACTTATTGAACATTATTTTAAACTTGTGCACCTTTTATTCTCAGACTGATTTATCAAAATTTAAAAAAAGTTATGACTTATTAAAGATCCCAAGGTACTTTGAAACAGAGACTTTAGAGGTCCATACTTGATACGAAGATACCTTATAATCAGAGGTGTCAACTTCACTTTGGACAAGGACACAGGGTCCGAAGTTCTACCCATGAATGACTGGAGTTTTAGAGATTTTTAAGTTTTTTAAATTAGACCCCACCCTATTTTTATTTCTTAATAATCTCCCCTTGAAAGTGATGTTATACTTCATTTGAACTAATTTGGATTCCCTTATCAATGATGCTTTTTGACACATGTGGTTGAAATTGTTCCACTTGTTCTGGAACAAAAAATTCAAAGAATTGTGGTCCCCCTCTTTTGTGGTTGGGATGCAATTATTTAAGGCATATACTGCAACTATCTTGTTTGTATGTACTGTCTTGTCTGTCTGTCCATCATACAAAAAAATATTAATTTTTGAATTAATAAAGGTTAAGGTTAAGATTAAAGCTTCTCAAAACTGCATCAAACTTCAAGGTCACATGGCCAAATATCATAACATTTTAATGTACATGTGAAATATGAAACCCTATCCCTGCTCATTCAAAAGTTATGACCGAGGTTAAAGAAATGTTAAAATTTTTGAAAAGTAGATCAACTTTCAAAGTTACAGAGTAAAAAATCAAAGTGCAGTCAAACCTCATTAGCTCAAACTCAAAGGGGCCAAGAAAAGACTTTGAGATATCCAAGGGTTTGAGATACTGAAGGTAAAATACTTAAAGAAAAAGGGTTTGGGGCTTTCAAATCACTTTGGGCATATCCATGATATTCAAAATATCTGTGTTCAAGGTATTGAACTTCAGCTGTATATTTGGAAAGGTTTTATCATAGGTAATGTACATATGAAATAAGAAAGCCTTATCTTTTCTAATTCAAAAGTTAAGACCTAGATTAAAGTTTTTGTGACAGACGCATTGACAGACAGACAGACTGACTGACAGAGAATAAGATTTAGTGTTCCCTTGCTTTTGTGAAAGTGGGGAACAAAAAATGCATAACAAATGTCATAAACATTTAATATTTCTAAAGCTTTAAAAAAGAAATCTGGATTCAGAACCAAAATTTACCTGGAACCAAAATCACAGACATTTTTTTTATTCTATGACCATAATTCTCAAGGACAGTTACAACCAAATTCATTCACCAACAGCTAAGTTTTAGCTGACAGAAGTTTTACAGTTGTGTTTAGACTGTAGATTTTCCTTGTGTTGTATTGTAACAACATACCCTGTATTACTTACGTGTTCCGTTTTCCCACTTGAAGATAAGTCCTGGTATAGTGCTGGTTATAGAGGTGCTGGTTGTTTCTTCTGTTGATGTCAAAGGTTCACAGAGCTCCCTATTGCTGAATTTCTCTACAATTTAAAATTGTAAAAATCAAATAAAATGAAAATCAGTCAAAGAATAAAATTTCCATCAAAACCAACTTTGATAATACTGCCTCAATAATATGCTCTTTGTTATTATTTGATTCTATAGTTAAATGCATGCAATGATTTTTTTCTTATTTCAAAATGCAAATTCTATTATAATGAGACCTAAGGGCCACAATGCTCACCCGAGTCACTATGACCCTACTGTTCATCAGCAGATATTTCTTCCCTAAATATTCCCAGATAAAACTTTGGGTGCCCATTGTGGTATAGCCTACCCCAATGGGTCATGATTTGAACATACTTGAATTTACACTACCTGAAGATGCTTCCATATAAATATGAATGATCATGGCTTATCTGCTCCTGATAAGAAGATTTTTGAAGAATTTTGCTATGTATTCCTATGTTAAACTTTGATCATCCATTGTGGCCCCAGCCTACATCCAGGGATCATGATTTCAACAAACTTAAACTAACACACCTAAAGATGCTTCTATATAAATATGACTAATCATGACTTATCTGTTCCTGAGAAGAAGATTTTTAAAGATTTTTCCTACGTATTCCAATGTTATACATTGATCACCTATTGTGTTCCTACCCTACCCCCAGGGGTCATGATTTGAATTAATTTGAATCTAGACTACCTTAGGATGCTTCCATATAAATATGAATAATCATGGCATTTCTGATGTTGAGAAGATTTGGTAAAGATTTTTCCTATATATTCCTATGTTAAGATTTTTCCCATATATTCCAATGTTAAACTTTGATGGACAATTGTGGCCCCATCCTACCCATTGGGGTCATGATAAACTTGAATCTGACATCTATAATGAAGCTGTCACCCAAGGATACTTTGTGGTAAGTTTTGTGGAAAATTGGCCCAGTGGTCTTTCGGAAGAAGTCAAAAATCTGAAAAGTTTACAAAGGGATGGACAGATGGATGGCAGAAAAAATGGGACCAGAAAAGCTCACCTGAGCTTTCAGCTGAGGTGACCTAATAATGTAAAATAGCTTATTTTTTTTTGGGGGGGGGGGGGGGGGGGGTTGCCAACAAAAATGTAGGTTTGTTGGGATTTGGTTTTGTGGTTGAAAAAATATACTTAAACTGTACATTGTTATTTTATATTTCATGGAGGACATGAATTTGTGGGTCTCTTCATACAATGAAAACAAGAAAATTCACTCTACATGAAAATTAGTGATTTCACAATACAAAGGCAATAAAATGTAAAGCATCCCCTCACAACAATTTCATTAATAAAACAAAAAGTTTTAAAGTGAATTAACCTGGTGTTCACAACATCATATAAACTATTCAATGACCTTGAGCTTTTTACCCTTTGTGTACCTTTTGACCAACAGACTTCACCATCAGGCATCTCTTTAGGAATTAAGTATCAAACTACAGGGTCTATTGGTGCTCTTTAAACTTTGCCTATTACATAGTTTATACTGTCTTTGACTTTAACCTTTGATCTTTTGACCCTGGATTCAAAATTCCCCTTTCTCCTGCCATCATTTCTGTAGTTCAAGTTATAATCTTCACAATATGTCCTTATAATTATTATGGATGTATGTGCAGATTCACATATATATGGGTCATTTATTACATGTACATTTATTCCCCGTCAACTTGACATTTGAGACTAAAAGGTCAAATGGTATTCTTCATATCATCTATACAACACTACATGGTTATGGAATACCTTTAATCTTGTGATTCTAAAATTTTGAGAGAGTTTCCTTATAGTCACCTACTACCTCTGTCTCCAGTTTGAAACTGAAAGTACCACACATATTTTTGTCCACAACATAAGTAAGGAGATACCATTTTTGACCTTGACTTTTGATCATTAACCATCAAATGAAAAGGCATATTCCTCGAACTCTTTGATGTTTGAAGCACATTTTTGGCTGAAAATAAAATGGTACTATACAAATGTCCAACAACACTTTTACAAACCCAGATTTACTTTGACCTTGACAACGGACTTTTTAACCCTCATATGAATATAGGCATTTCTCTCAATCCATACCATCTTTCTAGCGAGTTTGAGATTAAGGGGTCAAACTGAATGCTACATTACCTGTCAAAAACATTGGTATGAGGACACCCTTCACCTTGACCTCAGAACCCTCCAATAAAAAGGTGTATACCCCCATTTCTTATATTTCTTCCCATTATCTAAGACTCTCATAGAAGTAAGACACATATGATAGTCAGCATAGGACATAAAGTTCACTGCATAATAAATTTCAATATATGATCAACTTATCCCCACCCTGGGCCTAATTCCTGAATTCTGGTGAATATTGTAATTTTTTTTAATATGGTTTACTTTTCCTTATAAATGATTTGCTTACTAGATGTTCATGAGTCGATGAAGATTTTCAAAGAATGAATGTTCTCTAAACATATGCAACCAACTAAGCCTCACCTTGGGGCAGGAATCGTGGGCCAGGAGCCATGAATTTTGGTAGAGGGCTTATTTTCAATTGCTAGTAAGCAAAGAGTTTGTCAACTAAGATATCCATGAGTAGAGAAGATTTTCCAAGATTTAATGTATTTCCAATAAAACTGTATGTGACAAACTAAAACCTCAACCTAGAGCCTAAACCACAGGCCTGGAGGCCATTAATTTCACTTATTTGGTAAAAGGTTGAGTACTCATTATAATCGTCCAAACAGTTTGCTTGCTAGATGTCATGAGTAAAAAAAATGACTTTATAATAATGTATAAACAATGCATTTTCAATATATTACTAACTTAGCTACACCCCAAAGCAAAAACCCTGAACCCAATGAAAGGTAAAACCAAGTTAACTACAAGTAGTGGATGTGTATTTGCAACATTTCATTCTTATTTTTATATGTGGAGTCTGAAAAGTAATTAATGAATAAAGCAGAGCAAAATCATTTGAAGCAAATACCTGCCTGGACAGAAACATCCATTTATAAACTGTTGTGCAAAATGGCTAAGAGATAATCAGGAGAGAACTGCATGGAAACAATTCATATTATATTTATATTTCAAATCTGTAGTTTGATGAAAATTTAATGCCATGCTTCTATACATAATCAACTGGCCACTTTGAGGAATAACCTATTAAGGTATGAGTCTCAGCCCTTCAATAATCACTTTTAATAATCTCTCAATCTCGCAAATAGAACAGATTGTCCTAAGAAGGAGATTAGGAGTCTTACATTATCAATAAAACAATCAGCATTATTTCAGCCCAATCTTGAATTCTCCCTCTGTCAGTTTTAGTCTGCATCTTCCTGGTTCAACCAAATAGTATGCAAAACCTACCATCAAAAATGAAGTCTTAATTGTGATTTTGATGGCATTAATTGATGTGTTTCAAGATTACAACAAAACCTTTTTCTTAATGGGCCTGAGTTCCTTTCTCCAACAACAAAACATTCACGCTGACAATGAAACATTCACGCTGATTGGTTTTATAACATGCATTATTTAGTAACTAAATCTGATTTGGAAAAAGTAAGCCCTCACAACAGCCTTAATTTGTTATCAGGCACCACAAAAACATCAGCACCTACCTTCTTTAGATATATCTTGGAAACACTCTGGACTGATCGAGATATCATCCAAAGCAATGTCTCCCCTTTGTGTATACCCACGAAATGCTTTAATCTGTATGAAGTACCTGGAAAATAAAACTATACAAATGTATACCTAACAAGAGTGTTCCAAAGAACACATGTTTTGTAGCTTCATTAAAGATGAACATAAATCTAAGAGTGATCAACTTTTATAAACTCTTAGCATTAGAGTTCATGCATTTGTCTGCAAAGAAAAAAAAAGAGGCCATTGGGCCTCTTTTTTTGGAACTCATTGTAGGATTAGATAGACATGCAGGGCTGACTGCAAGTGAAAGTTGTCAGCCCTGCCAAAACTCTAATAGCCCGAGAAAATATAAGTCTTTTATACATGTTTTTAGCAATAATGTGAATGGGGTACGATCACCATAACTTCCATCCCGAATCTACAGGCTGTCGAATTCTACCCCTTGTTACAGTTAGCTGCCAATACTATTAGTTAATTTGAGAGATATTTATCAAATATATGAATTTTAATTTATGGCAAAGGACAAGTGCACTTAAGCAATGCTTAATGGGCCCTTTTCAGTGCCGTATTACTTCAGAATATATTGCCATATTGTTCTCTCTTGGTAATAGTTAAACACAAGTGGATATTTCTAGTTAAAATCATGTTAAAACATCACCTAAATCAGCACGGATTTAAAACAAATGAAGATTTTTAAATGCCTATAGATACCCCAAATCCAGAAAAGTCGTACCGAACCTATTTGAGTTTTGTCTATTTAAATCAAGGGGAGGAGACATTTAAATAGGACACTTGAACAATCTGATGGTGGATCATTGACGGCTGTGTTTGCCGAATGATACTTCTTGCGCTATTTTAGGTGAGAAAAAAATCGAATGAAGTTGTATAGATGTCTGTAGCCATAGTGATCAAACTAAGAAATTTGCACGCTTGCATTTGAAATAATAAATAAGTATTAACATTAGTTCCTTTAAATCTTAAAATGAAAAAAGTGTATTTAGGTGACTTTCAATACCTGTAGCATTGTCTTGCATGAATGTTAAAAATGTTTGACGCTTTTATGTATGATGACATTTAACGACACTAAACTCTTCTAACCCTCCCGTGTTCCTAAAACCAAATACATACAAACCTCTATGCTGCACGACTTCGATATAATGATAGAAAATGTGCATGGCTATCTTTTACAGTGAGCACTTTTGAGGAATGTTTACATGGGTAGAACTCACACGACTACCGGTATTTTAAATAATTTATTCCACAGGTGGGTTCAACATAAGTCATACAGGTAAATAGCTTTCGCCTGCTATAGGAAAAACATTGAACTTTTCATACATTTTTAATATTTTAAGTACAAGCCTAATCTTGTACAAATTTCCTACTTTCACACAAGTTTTATAAATGTATAATGCACTTTTTGTCATTCGCACAAGTTTGTACAACGTTAGGCTGACAGTAAACAAAAGCTTTGAAATGAATGACCATCCTCGATTTACTATTAGAAAATCACGAATGTCGGCTGACCCCTACCACATTGTATGGCTTTGCTCTTTGTATATTCATGAATTTCAGAGATAAAATTTGTTGAATCCTATGGTTTAGATATCAATTAATGATCTGAGATGAAAAATTTTGATTCTTCATTTTTTCACATTTCACTGGGGCCCTCAAGTGCACTCGTTCTTTAACACGTCCAGCCGGGCTTTGATACGTGCAAATCTGTTCGTCTGCGGCAAAGTTTGTGCGTCTTGGGTGGTCGGGCGCACAATTATTCCAAACACTGATTGGGCCACAACCTGAGCTCTTAGGCTAGTAAAAAGCAGAAATCAGTTCAGTATTGAAAATGTTAAATATGAAAGTGGTCCCAACATTTGATCTTCTTTTGAGGCCTTGCCCTATCCCCAGGGACATGATTTGAACAAATTTGAATCTACTACACTACCTGAGGATGCTTCTAAATTAATACGATTAAGTATAGCATTGCTTTTCTTAGAAGAAATATTTTATTGATATATCCCTTATATTCCTTTGTATAACTTTGATAAACTGTTGTGGCCCCACCTTACCCTCAGGGGTCATGATTTGAACAGATATGATTTTACACTACCTAATGATGCTTCCACAAAAGTATGAATAATTGTGGCTTTACATTTTTAAAGATTTTACATACACATTCCTATGTAACTTTGATCCTCCATTGTGGCCCCATCCTACCCCCAGGGGTCATGATTTGAACAATCTGAATCTACACTTCCTGAAGATGCATCCATATCAATGACTAAACATGGCTTTGCTGTTCTTGAGAAGACAATTTTTAAAGATTTTTTCCTATATATTCCTATGTAAAAATTTGATCCTCAATTGCCGTCACACACTACCCCCAGGGGTTATGATTTGAACAAATTTGAATCTACATTTTCTGAGGGTGCTTCCAAATAAATATGAATAATCAATGGGTTTGCTGTTCTTGAGAAGAATATTTTTTAATGATTTTCCCTAAATATTCCTATGTAAACTTTGATTGCCCATTGTGGCCCTACTCTACCCCCCAGAGGTCACGATTTGAACAAATTTGAATTCACACTACCTGAGATTGCTTCCATGTAAATAGCTTTGCTGTTCTTGTGGAGAAGATTTTTAAAAGATTTTTAAAAGATTTTTAAAGATTCTTCCTATGTATTCCTGTGTAAAATTTTGATTGCCCATTGTGTCCTAACCCCATCCCCTGGGGCCATGATTTGAACAACCTTGAATCTACACTACCTGAGGATACTTCCATGTAAAAAAAAAAAAAAGACTCATCATGGCTTTGCTGTGCCTGGGAAATAGATTTTTCAATATTTTGTATAGAGTGCAACCACTGATCCAAAATACGCAACTATATAATGATGTGTAATTTGAAATGGGACATATGGGTGTTAGTCAATGAATTCGTATATCTAGAGGGCCATTTTATGCATAAAGTGTAAATAGCTCTTTTAATCAGAAAAGTTCAATTGAGCCTTCATCTCAGGTAAGCTAAAATAATCTTTTGATGAATTAATTTACAGCCAAGTTTGTTTCTGTAAATATCAAACTTCAAGGTCAAGGTTATGAGGTCAAAAATCACAATACATTAAGAAAGATTTTGTCACAGGTAATGTACATGTATAAATATGACATTCCTGTCTCTTCACTGTAAAAGCTACAGCTAAGGTTAAATTTTTGGAAAAATATATCAAACTTCAAAGTCAAGGTAAGGAGGTACAAAGTCAAGGTATATTTGGAAAGGTTTTGCTACAGGTATGTGAAAGCCATGTCTTCTCTCATTCACAAGTTATTTAAAATTTTTAAAAGTACTGAACAAGGGACAAATTTCACAGGTTGTAATTTTCACTTTTTTTCTCTCCTCTAACACAATCGCAGTTTGAAGAATTCATGAATTTGTATACATGTATAATAAAAGTTACCTCCCTTGTCTGTATCCAGTATATAGCCAGAATTCCATTCATTAGCATTATGTATTTACTTCATGAATAATACTCAGGGAGGTTTAAATGAAGTGGATGGATTTGGTAATTAATTTACGATTAATCAATGCAATTGCCGTTAAACGTCTTTGACTATAAACCGTCGGATGATTTTCCCGTATGCTATTACGATGAGTGCATGTACACCCAAAGATCTTCTTTCCAAAGGAATAACACATTGTAGCAAAATCCACTGGACGATAATAAATGTGTTAATATATGTCGACGAAATAATATCCTTCCATATCTATGGCAAGTTCGAGAGTTATTTGAATAATTTTCTTTAACCAAAATATTGATAAAAACTAATACGCATGATACAAGTGCATGGTAATGTTAGTGATGCCTTGGGTAATCAAAACCCACAACCCATGTGTTTCAATAGATCAAACATGTAGCACTGGCTATCAAATCAGCTTTTTAACAAAAAATACAGGTCATTATCTGCTGATCTGAATTTTAAGTAAAGCGTGATAATTAAATACTGTATGTGTACTTTTTCAAGTGGGCTTCATATTTTAGTGACTTTGGCGCAGACAATGATGCGCTCACTCATGAATATTGCTAAAAATTCATTAATAAATACAATACATGGAGGGGCAGTTTTAAAGAAATGACACCAACTTTTTACAAATAACTTGACACAGGTCATTTGCCTTTTCACAAATGACACTGACACCCAGTCCATTGGTCATGAGCAGCCAAAATGATTAGCAAGACAGTAATTTAAATGCTTCTAAGTTACAGCCAGATGTCAGTGCAATGAACAAACAAATGAAAAGAGTAGTTCTTACATACTATCTAGCATTTGTTGTGAAAGATTCCGTTTACTTACGGTCCAAAATTTCTGGGAATGTCCTTGGTAAGAGATACTGAGGCACACTTCCACTTGTTCTCATTAACATTCAGACTCAGGATTTCTATGGGGCGATTGATTCCAAGTCTACATGCACTGACCAGTGACACTCTAAGTCTACTCACTCGAGTACCATACATGTGGTAGTAAAAAGCTAGCTGAAAATTATGTAAGAAGGTATAATCTACAAGTCATCTTTGAAATACAGTCAAACCTCATTATCTCACCTCATTATCTCATTATCTTATATTAACTCAACATGACTGAGAAAAACTTCAAGATATCCAAACCTGAGACATTATGGTAAAAATAAATAAATAAAGAATGGTTGGTACTTCCACTCACTTCCATATATCCATGGTATTAAAGATATCGATGTTTGACATAACAAAGTTCAACTGTATCAACAAGTGTGATACCGGTACTTAAAACTGATAAGTATAATCGTATAAATATTTAAAAGGTTTTATTATATATTGTCTTACCTGACACATCCCATTCAAAGTGGAAGAATTCCAGACTGAGGCACTAGGAGCAGGAAAAACTGGGCTCTCCAAAATACCAGCATCTAGATGTCTCCCGTCGTCCATTTCAACATACAAATAATGACCTGAAGAAAAAAAAACATCATCAGAGAAAAACATTTTCCATGAGATAATGTTGTTATCTGAACTTCCTGAAAAGCTTGCTATTCTTTATAACCTAGTATCTAACTTTGACTATCAGGCCATTTTTAAAAGAATGTTACTTTCCTCTCCCAACTCATGATAAAAAAAATAGGTAGAGAAATTTTTTTTTAATATGGATATGCTTATTTTAGCATTATAATGTTCAACTAATCAAGTAAATACGAATATTAAATTAAACTAGTTGTTGCTGGGATGAGATGATTTTGGAGTGATTAAAAAAATACTGGGTACTGTTTCCTAGAGGTTTAATCATTTTATTTTTATCATGTACAATTTCTTTTTAAATACTGTAAACCTACATAGATAGTGCATTAAAAATTTAGTGTTGTCCTCCTTATCAAATGATTTAACACAATCATCAACTAGAGGTGCTGTGAGAGAGCTCACAAAATAATACTCCTCACCTCAATTTTTGCCCTTTTTTTATTATCTCCCCTTAGACATGGCCCTTCATTTGAACAAACTTGAATATCCTTCACCCAAGGATACTTTGTGGCAAGTTTGAATGAATTAAAGAACAAGGTATGGTTTCAATACAAATCTGGCCCTGTATTTTTCTTTAAATATGAAAGTGATGTAAGACATTAAAATTCATGCTTTCTCAATACATGTAGTTGAATTTCCATTTAGCAAGATCATGCAAATCGTTTTTCTCACATGACCCCCTAAATGTTTATTGTGACATCATGAATTTTTGCATTTTCCCGTACTTTCTTAAGAAGTTGCAGAAGACATCAATTTTCAGTGGAATTTTCTTTCAGATCATATAGACCACATGCATCGCCCACAAAGATTTTGAGAAATGTGATTTTTCAAGGAATTTTACACAACATATCCGAAAATTAAAGTGGGCGACAGCTGTGGACACTATTTTCTTGAGGAAAATAACCCTTGAAATGGGTCATTTTGAGGCTTAATTTTTCTGTTTAAAAACAGAAAAATGTGTCAAATTAATGATGTGTTATTTCCAGAATGGTCCTCCTTCATGCCATATTCTATTATGATTTATCGGTCATATACTCATCTCAAATTTAAGCCCATTTCAAAACTTTTTCAATTCATTAATTTTTAGGGCACAATAAAGCCAACAAGAGGCCCAGGGGCCACATCACTCACCTGAGCACTGTGTCGAGGAAAAATGCAAAAATCAGTTTAGTATTGCAATGCTTAAATGCATAAGTGGTCCCGACCTACCCCTAAAAGGGAGGGGGGGAA